TTAGTCCATGGTGGTCAGATAGTATACAAGGGATTATTTCAATCCTTTTGTATCTGTTGAGGCTTGCTTTGTGACCAACTATATGGTCTATTTTGGAGAAGGTTCCATGTGGTGCTGAAAAGAAGGTGTACTCTTTTGAGTTTGGGTGAAAAGATCTGTAGACATCTATTAGGTCCATTTGATTTAGGGATTCTGTGAATGCTTTTATTTCCCTATTTGGTGTCTGTCTGGTTGATCTGTCCCTTGATGAGAGTGGGGTGTTGAAGTCTCCCACTATTAAGGTATTAGGATCAATGTATGATTTAAGCTTTAATAATGTTTCATTTACGAATGTAGGTGCTCTTGTATTTGGGGCATAGATATTCAAAATTGTGATGTCCTCTTGTTGGATTTTTCCTTTGATGAGAATATAGTGGCCCTCCTTATCTTTTTTGATTAACTTCGGATGAAAGTCTATTTTATTAGATATTAGGATGGCTACTCCCGCTTGTTTTCTGGAACCATTTGCTTGAAAGACATTTTTCCAGCCCTTTACTCTGAGGTAGTGTTTATCTTTCGTGCATAGGTGTGTTTCTTGGATGCAACAGAATGTTGGGTCCTGTTTCCGTAACCATTCTGTTAGCCTGTGTCTTCTTATTGGTGAGTTGAGTCCATTAATATTGATAGATAATATTGACCAATGCATGTTAGTTCCTTTTGTAATGGAGTCGATGATCTTACCCTGTTTCATTGCTTGTTTTCTTTTCATTTTTGTTGGGATATTATCTGTATGCCCTGTTTTCTTGGGTGAATTCGTTTTCGTTGGATTGGAGTTTTCCTTCTAGTATCTTCTGTAGGGTTGGTTTGCTGTATAAATATTGCGTAAATTTAGTTTTGTCATGGAATATTTTGTTTTCTCCATCTATGTTGATTGAAAGCTTTGCGGGGTATAGTAGTCTTGGTTGACATTTGTGATCTCTTAGAGTCTCCATGATGCTTTCCCAGGCCCTTCTGGCTTTCATAGTTTCTGATGAGAAGTCTGGTGTGATTCTGATAGGTCTACCTTCATATGTTACTTGGCCTTTTTCCCTTGCTGCTTTTAATATCTTTTCTTTGTTCTGTAGATTTAGTGTTTTGACTATGATGTGACGTGATGTGTTTCTTTTCTGGTCTAGTCTATTTTGTGTTCTGTAGGCCTCTTGTATATTTATGGACATCTCTTTCTTTAAGTTGGGAAAATTTTCTTCTATGATTTTCTTGAAAATATTTTCTGGACCTTGGAGCCTGGAGTCTTCTTTTTCATCAATTCCTATTATTCTTAGATTTTGTCTTTTCATAGCATCCTTGATTTCTTGGATATTTTGTGATTGGAACTTTTCTGATTTTACTTTTTCTTTGAGAGAAGTATCAATTTCTGCAAGTGTGTCTTCAGCTCCAAAGATTCTCTCTTCCATCTCTTGTATTCTGTTGGTGATGCTTACTTTTGTGGTTCCTGATCTTTTCTCCAAGTTCTCCAGCTCAAGAATTTTCTCTTTTTGTGTTTCTTTATTGATTTTAATTCTGTTTTCATGCCTTGCACCATTTCTTTCATGTGTTTGAATTTGGATTCCTGCCTTTCTACGATGGTCTCTATTTCTTTGTTCATTTCCTTTTTATATGCCACTAATTTTTTCTCTACTTGTGCCTCTATTTGTTTGGCTATGTTTGCCTGTGTTTCTTTAAGGGTTTTGTCTATTTCTTCTTTCTTTACCTCCAATTGACTGGCCAACTCTTTGAAAGATTTGTTCATTTCCTCCTTATGAGCCTCAAATAATTGAGCAAGCATGGCTTTAAGGTCATTTTCCTGTGCTTCTGATGAATTGGAGTATCCATTGATTTTGGGGTTTGCTGGTGAAGTCATGATGTCCTGATTTATGTTGGAAGTGTTCTTTCGCCTACCCCTGGCCATTGGCTTATCTGAGACCTTCCCTGTTTGTTTTTGGATTCTGCCGATCAGACTGGTACTGTCTCTTTCTCGAGTCTGGAGAATTCTTCAGGAAGTTGAGAGAGGTCCCATGTCCTTAGCGTGTGCTGAGGACTAGCTGTACCTGTGGGAGGAAAGTAAGCAGGCACAAACAGAGGCAAATGCAAGCGTGCGTGCGTGTGTGTGTGTGTGTGTGTGTGTGTGTGTGTGTGTGTAAGTGGGCGTGGGCGTGTGTCTCGAGGGACAGAGTAATGGCTAATGTTGAACCCTTGAGTGTGTGGGAGGGGCTCTGCAATGTATATGTCGCAGGCGCTAGTGATGATCGCATCGCAATTTCTGGTATTAACTGCCTTAACTCCTCAATTAGACCCACAGAGCAGGAACTTCAATGTTCCAAGTGCCCCTCTGTTTCCCAAAGTGGGTATATGGGTGGGAGGGGGTTCGATGCCTGGCTTCTGTTTTAGAAGGACCCAGGATCAGGGGAGCTGCAGATTCTCAAGGGTGCACTCACTTACAGGCAGGTCATTTGGCAGAGATCGGGGTATCTGGGCTCTCTGCTCTCTGGTTTGGCCCTGCTTCTTTGATGTGCTCCGCCAGTTCCGTGCTGCTGTCACTGCCAGGTCTTGCTGCAGCTGGAGATTTCAGGGTGGTCACATCAGTAGGAATCGGGGTAACTAGGCTTTCTGTTCTCTGTTTTGGCCCTGGTTAGTCTTAAACTGGAGGGCTGATGTGCCCTGCCAGCTCAGTGCTGCTCCGCTGCCAGGTTAGAAAGTCCCGCTGTAACTGGAGACTGGGTTGCTAGTCCAGATGCTTTCTGGGAAGTCCTGGGGTCTCTTCACTGTGCTCTCCAAGCTTCGGAGGCCCAGCGCCTGGTGTGTCTAGCTTGTATGGCGTTTCTGTCTGGTTTTGGTGAGTATATAGCGTATTCTCTATCACTGTGGGATTGGGCGGGCCGTACCGTCAGTGATGGAGCTCCTGCGGAGCTAGTATGGCGTCTAGCAGACTCGGGCCCTGGGAGGATGGTGCAGCTGCCGCGCGAATCTGGGGCTCCGAGACACAGTACTGCTGGCCTTTGCCGATAAAGGGCTTGGGGCTCCGCCTCAGTGGCTGCAGGCCCAGGCAGTTAGGTCTGCGCTGAGAAAGGCGAGTCCGCTGTGCCAAGGAGGAGGAGGGAGGTCTGGGGGAGGGGAGTGCCTAGAGATCAAAGGATCGTTTCTCACCTTCCCCAAACAAGTCCCTGGGTGACTGGAGACCAAGGTTTTCACCTCTTGCGATGTTCCCTGTTGTTTAGAAAGTCTCTCCATTGTTTCCCTGGCTTCAGAAGTTCTTCCACTCATCAACTCAGAACTTTATCTCTTCCACAGCTCGGAGACTGTGTGTGCTAGTCACCATCTTGGCTCCGCCCCCACAATTAGAAATTCTTAAGGTGACCAATTACAAGAGTAGGTATTTTATAGTTATATATTGCTTTTCAAGTCCTTTGAACTATAAATTTTACTAGAATTAGCCTTTTATTTTGATAACTCACAGAACATCTCTAATTTTATCTTACATCTTTAAAATAAATTATTATTTAAATATTTAAATATAGTCACCTAATAATTTAACCTCAAATTCTAGTTACTGCCTTAACTAAAGACATGAGCAACTATAATGAAAATTCAGCTATAATAAAATGTATGTATTCCTAGTAAACCAATAAATAAAAGGGAGAGAAAACACAAACTAGCAGTATTAGGCATGATGGGTGAGGAGAATTACCAGGGGGTGAATTTTTTCTCTGTGAGTATGAGAACTTGTGCTTAGATCCTGTGCTGTCTAACTTTTTGTCAACTTGACACAAGCTATAGACATCTGAGAAGAGAGAACAACAAATGAGAAAAAAAATGTCTTCATAAGATTAGACTGCAGGCAGCCTTCAGGCATTTTTAAAATTTGTTATTAATGTGGGAGGGCCCAGTGCATCCTGGCCTAGTCCAGATAGTCCCCTGTACTAGCAGGTTTTATATTAAATCAGGCTAAGCAAGCTTTGAAGGGCAAGCCAGTAAGTAGCACCCCACCATGGCCTCTGCAGTCACTCCTGCTTCCAGGTTCCTGCCCTGTTAGAGTTCCTATCCTGACTTCTTTTAGTGATAAGTAGTGGTGTAGAAACATAAGCCAAAAATGGTGGGATATAGTAAAGATCATCCTGAGTGAGGTGTCCCAGGAGCAGAAAGACACACATGGTATATACTCACTTATAAGTGGATATTAGACATATAATAGGATAATCATATTAAAATCTGTACACCTAAGGAAGCTAATCAAGAAGGAGGATCCTGGGCAAGATGCTCAATCTTCACTCAGAAAGGCAAATGAGATGGACATCAGAAGAGGGAGAAAACAGGGAATAGGACAAGAGCCTCTCACAGAGAGCCTCTGAAAGACTTAACGCAGCAGTGTATCAAAGCAGATACTGAGACTCATAGCCAAACTTTGGGCAGAGTGCAAGAAAACTTATGAAAGAAGGAGGAGATAGAAAGACCTGGAGAGAACAGGAGCTCCACAAGGAGAGCAACAGAACCAAAAACTCTGGGCACAGCGGTCTTTTCTGAGACTGATATTCCAAACAAGGACCATGCATAGAGATAACCTAAAACCCCTGCTCAGATGTTGTCCATGGCAACTCAGTGTCCAAGTGGGTTCCCCAATGATAGGAACAGGGACTGTCTCTGACATGAACTCATGGGCTGGCTCTTTGATTACCTCTACCTGAGGGGAGAGCAGCCTTACCAGGCCACAGAGGAAGACAATGTAGCCAGTCCTGATGAGACCTGCTAGACTAGGGTCAGATGGAAGGTGAGGAGGACTTCCCCTATCAATGGACTCGGGGAGGGAGATGGGAGGAAAAGAGGGAGGGAGTGTGGGGTTGGCAGGGATTGGGGGAGGGGGCTACAGCTTGGATACAAAATGAATAAACTATAATTAATAAAAATAAAATAAAAATTTAAAAAAATAAATAGTTTAAAAAAAGAAATATATGCCAAATGAATCCTTTCTTCTCCAAGGTGCTTTGGTCATGGCGTTTTGTCAAGAAATGATAGCCATAGGACAAATCCCTAGCAAAATGAAAACTGTGTGCAATAGCATGCATCAGAAATCCTGGGAGAATGAGAGACCAGACCCGTCAAAAAATTCCTGGAGCTTGCTGGTCAGCCAGTTTAATGAAAATGGAGAACTCCAGGTTAAGAAACAGACTCTCAAAAAGTAAGACAGAACCACAGCAGAAGATGTCCTGTTTTGTACATATGCACATGTGAACACATGCAGTTAAACACATATACCACACACACACACACACACACACACACATTTTTAAAATAGTAATAAGATATGCTTAAAGTATCCAGGTATCCAAGAGGGTAATCATGACCAGCTTTATACTAATGAGCTTAATAATGTAGAAAGAACAGAGAAAGTCTTAGAAAACGCAGTTTGCCAAAATTGTTGTAAACGGATACAAAATGTTTTAAGATACTTTTACATGTTATATAGTGTTGGGGGATTGTCTTGTGCACTGTGTTCTCAGATGCTGTGCCCTAAGATCTGGTTGCAGTTGGATGTGGCATTGTAATTTCTATGAAGAATATCCTATCTCGCTCAATGTTGTGTAAAATTGTTCTCCATCATCTTTGATTGGTTAATAAAGAAGCTGATCAGCCTATAGCTGGGAAGACAGAACAGGAGGTAGGACTTCTGATCGCAGTCGGGCATACAGACCAGAGAAGAAGGTTGAGAGGGGAGAGAGGAGAATGTTGCCGTTCTCCCCCATGGAGGATTCACCATAAGCAAAGACAAATGGAACAGAAGCAGCCAGGCCAGAGTAAGAAGGTAAGTAACGTGGGGCATGTGGCTGCAAAGAAGCTAGGCTAGTATAGGTGGGTTAGAATAGGTCAATATCTGCCCAGCTGTAGTTCTTCAAAGCATATTAATAAGTCTAATGGGTCTTTGTTTCATTATGTGTGAGTTAGATTGGGTATAGAAAACAAAACAAAAACAAAAACACAAAACATTACTTTATTTCTACATTTGGTGCTGTTAGGATTTGTAAGCAGGCATCTCTATGGCCAGCCCCAAGGGACCTGACAAAGGGGATATCAGGCATCTGTGAGGCCACCTACGGACCACCTGAAACCACCTGGGTCATCTGATAAGAGAACTATGCACCATCTGCCCTTTTTCTATCCTACCTTGCACAGAGACAGTCTCTAGTGACCCATCTCCCCCTTCCCACATGGAACCAGTCATAGGGTATGATTTAGAACCTGCTGTGTAACTTTGCGGTCGTAATCCTAACATTGGTGTATTGGCCGAATAGGTGCTTTCAGCAGCCATGCTGGGTGGTGGCTGCTTTTGGCACCAGCCCTGCCACCAGAGCTGCTGGATACCTATTTCATTTCAAATCTGCCCATGACCCACTTCACGGCAAACAGATCACTACCTCCTACATGCAACACCGGCTGGATTGGTGAGTTCCCCTCATTGGTCAGCATAAACATCTTTCTTGGTAGAAATATCTCTCTTGGTAAGGGGAGATTAACCGTTGAGCATCTGGCAACTTCCTGGTACCTTTTGAGACAGAGGAACCCCCAACCACAGCCCTCACTGGCCACAGTTGACCCTTTTCCCTGACCTCCATTTAGGGCTTCTTTTTCCCTTGGGTGAGATTTTTTTTTCCTTCTACTGGAACGAACCCCCCCCTCCCATTTTCTATGAAAATCCTATGCTAGGTAACCTGTCTACTACAGGTAACTGTGCCCTTGGTCTCTGTCTAATGCTGATGAGCTCTTAGATCAGGTAGGGCCATACTACTCTACTGAGCCAAACCATGTTTTTGCAACACCTCTGGCCTGTCACTGACTCCTATCCTCCCAATGAGAACTGCCCATTCGCCCATTCCTCCAGCATCGTCACTGGGATATCTTCTGGAGAATTTTAAAACCCTATGCATGGAGCCTGAGTTAAAGGCCTCTAAGCTAATACACCTCTGTAATAAAACTTGGCCTACATATTTCTTAGATAATGGTTTAAATTGGCAGATTAACGGCACATTAAATCCCAATATTTTACGGGATCTTTTTAATTACGGTCAGCGATCTAGTAAATGGAAGGAGGTATCTTATGTTCAGGCATTCTCTCTCCTCTGCTCTAAAACTTCTTTCTGTTCTTCTTGTTCTCCTACCCAGCTTCTTCTAGCTATAAAGTCTCAACCTCAAGAATTCTCTACCTTTGACCCTGTGGATGAACCTCTTTCTTGCTGTTCTCAACCTCCAACTTCTTCTCAACCTCTGGATCTTCCCTCCTCCTTAGCTTCCTCCTTTTCCTCTTTGGCTTCTCCAGCATCCTCACCCCCTCCCTAGCTGTCCTAGTCATTCTACATTGGCACCCATTTTCACCCTACCAACAACTATTAGCCTCCCTGCTACCCGCTCTGTAGTGAAGCCTCGTTTTTCTTCTACTCAGCGTAAACCAGACTCAATTCTTCCCTTGAAGGAGGTGGCCAGTGTGGATGGCTTAGTTAGGGTTTGTGTTCCCTTCTCATTAACTGAACTTTCTCAAGTAGAAAGAGACTAGGATCCTATACCTCTAATCCTTCCACTTTCATTAAAGAATTTCAGTATCTCACTCTATCTTATAGTCTTACCTTCCATGATATATATTTGATTCTTACCAACAACGTATTACCTGAGGAGGCAAGTTTGAGAACAGGCTAGAATGACTGGCAACTTGATTTTACCCACATGCCAGCAGTCAAGCGTGTCTGGTACCTCCTGGTCTTGGTGGAAAACTTCTCAGGATGGGTGGAGGCTTTCCCCACTACTAACAAAATTGTTCAGTTTCTGATCTCCTTCTCCATGAAATTATCCCATGTTTTGGAATCCCCCACCTCCTTCCAGTCAGATAATGGTCCTGAGTTCACTTCTCAGATATTCCATACCTTATCTAAAGCCCTTAATATTTCTTGGTATTTTCATATCCCATACCATCCCCAGTGCTTAGGACAGATAGAACGAACTAACTGATCCTTAAAAAACACTCTTGTAAACTATCACAAGAGCTTCACCTTGATTGGGTAAAATTTCTTCCTCTGGCCCTTTTCAGGCTACAAGCTCTCCCCAAAAAACCTCTGTCTATCTTGTCCTTTGAGCTCATGCATGGAGGATTGTTCCTAACTCCTGGTCTTTCAACTAAATACTCTCTTCTCCCTGACTGCTTACTTACTCCCCTTACTCTGTCATCTCCATTCTCTTCTATGTAACTTTACTGACCACTGTTTACCATGGCCACACACTAACCCCTATTCATCTCCTATTAACATCAGGGACCAGGTCATTCTCTCCCCTCCAGACCAAAGCCCCCCATCTCTTTCTCCTAAATGGAAAGTCCCTTTCAAGGTGATTCTGTGACCCTCACAGCTGCTAAGCATGTGGCCTTCCCTTACTGGGTTTCTCTATCTCACCTCAAGCCTTTTACTCCCCGTCTTCAAGATAATGCCACATTCTACATATTAATTCCAACAGGACCCTGCTCCCTCCAGCTCCAGAAGATGCCAAGCTCAACCATCTTGCCTCCTGGTCCAGAGAAATGAGGCCTTGCTATAGCTGTTGTGTTCGACCCTACTGGATTGGATATGTATTTTTCTTCCTCTCCTGCTTGCCTATTTCTATTCAAGGTAGTCCCTACATATGGAGATTCGAAGTTCAAGACAATAAACAGTGTCTCCAAATTGCTCTGTGGGAGGCTGTCAGCCCTACGTCCTCCTCTCTTATTTGACAGAATTTGTGTTTGCTCCCTCTTTGATCAAACAAAATATTATTGCAAAAAATGGCCAGACACATGTGGAGGCTGCCCATTTTGGTCTTGCCAAATGCATGTACCAGCACAGAAGATGCTCCTTCATCTGTATAAAAGGACTCTCTTCTTATACATCCAAGAACCTTGGAATCCCGGATGGGAAATAGGCTTTGCTGGAAAACTCTACTGCTGCTGCATACCCAATTTACCTATTGGTACTACCTGTATCCAGAGAAAATAAGTCAATTACCCAATCCCTGGTGATGGGAGGAGTAGAGAAGGTAATTAAACACTCCTCTAAGGTCATTACCTCTCTGACATTCCCCCCCCCCCCCAAATAATACAAACCTGTCATTTCCTCCCCTACTTCAGACTCTGACCTCAGCCTACAAGCTCCTTAATATAACCCAACCAGGCCATTTTAAAGCTTGCTGGCCATGTGTCCCACTAGGGACCTACTCAGAACTACCACTGACAGCTTCTCCATGACTCTGTCAAGTAACCTTACTTCACCATTCACTAACTGCCCTGACTTTGATGTTGCCACACCCCCTACTTTTTCATATCTCCTTCTTTGGCATGGCAAGCTGTTTCAAAGCCTCTGGGACACACACTATAACAATACTAAGTTCCTTAGACTGTAATAAAACTATAATCTTTGATACCTCATCTCAACCCCAAAAGCCTTTCTGCTAATAATACCTCGATTCTTTGTGGTAATCTCATCTACCATTGTCTGCCTACTGGTTGGTCAGGAGTTTGCTCACTGATGCTCCCCTTCCTCTGAGCTGGGGATGATAAATGAAAAGGAGCCTTACCAATCCTGGTCGTGAACTCAATAGTTGCCCAGCAGGATAGGAGGGCAATTCAAACCTTGCCCTTCTTGGCTATTCCAGGAATCACGGCAGCTATCAGGACTGGCACAGCAGGACTAGCCACTTCACTAACTTTGTTTTATCAGCTTTTTCCCCAATTCATCCAGGGTCTCCAGCAAGTGGCTCAGACAATACTAACTCTCCAAGGACAGATTGACTCAGCTCACTGGCAGCAGTAGTACTTTAAACCGATGAGGATTGGATCTCCTCCCAGCTAAAGAAGGTGTCCTTTGCATCTTCCTCCAGGAGGAATGCTGTTTTTATGTCAACTAGTTGGGTACAGTAAAAGACGAAATCTAACAACTCCAGACTAATCTACAAAAGAGAAGGGAACATCTCCAGGACTCTAGATTTTGGGCCTTTGAGAACTGCATATGGAAATGGATTCTGCCCTTCCTCACATCTTTTCTGCTCTCATCTTTCTGCTTTTGCTTTTTGTTCCATGTGAGAGACTCTCTGGGAAATAAAAACCTACGCTGAAATATACTAAATTTGGCCACTAATACAACTCGGTACTCTTTATTGTCTAAAATTGGTCTGTTCAAAGGCCAATGAGAAGGAAAAATAAACACAAGATCAAGAGACTTAAGAGAGTTCAGGCCTTCATTTGGTTGAACAACCTGTAGAAGAAGTCTCCTTAAAAATCAGAGCCAAGCCCCAGTAGTTAGAGGACAGAACAGGAGCAAGGCATGGAAAGAAGTTGAATTGTTTTTCTTTTTTTCTTTATTTTGACCTGAATTTGATCATTGCTAGTGGTAATCAGTGAGTAGTTGAATAAAAAAATGCTGTGTGACTGATACACATCTTTCAAGGCTGGTCATTATGGTGTGTCTCTTGGGCAGGACGGTCAAGAATGTGTAGTGACGACTTACTTTACTTCTAGACCAAATTATTGTAGTTCCTGGAATTATTACAGTCCCACTATGAGAGGAGTTTTACAAAATGGTATGGTTCTGGCTAAAACCTGTGGCTCATTATAATGCTAACAAAACATGCAAGAAAATGTTGCTGTTGTGTGGTATCCACCCAAAAAGATTACTTGGACATGGGTTTAAGCCAATAAAAGTCTTTATTAGCTGACTGGTAACTATACTGTAGTTTTGAGATCCCTGTGTGGCTCTGGGACTTTCTCAGGGTGAGCTTTGAAGCGCAAAAATCACATGTTGATTTGACATAATTCAGTAACAAGAACAATTAGCCAGAAGCAGAACCACAGAAGCCAAAAAAAGCAAGGTTAGTAGAGTTATGGACTTCCCCAGAACTATGGACCTTGATTCTCAAAACTACCATCTCTGATAATGAACAGAACAGAAGAGAACAGGACAGGACAAAACAACAAAAAAAGTTTCAACAGTTCATTGAAGAAAATGATGAGCCATGTTAATAAAGACAAAAATAAAAGTTTTCTTACAAATTGTCCAGTGATAGACATAGAACCTGGCTGAAATAGGATTGTTATGGATGATAAAACTGGTAAGCCAATGTTTGACTGACTCAAACACACTTTGTGAAATAGACACACCTACTGATTAAAATCTGTTACAAATTTAAGTAGTCAGAGTTAATTTTACCAATACTCGTAGAAAGCAGCCTCATTGGCCTTTTGATAAAATTAACTAAAACTTGATATCATAGTTTCTGTCATATTCCAGACACAGTAGCTTAAGCTACAAATACCTGTCACCAGAGAAACAGCAGAACCCAAGTTAGCCACCGTTTACACCAAAACTGACATCTGCTCTTTGAAAATGTTAGTCACATGAGGAAAGGCAGTGACAGTTTTAGGTTAAAGTTAATC